TTTATCGCCTGTTAACTTTGATATTTTTATATAGTGCACGAACGAAGTTTAAAAGTGGTTACAAATATATTCTTAGTTTTAATTACAGCAACAAAATATCTAATCTAAAATTTATAACAGCTTTACTTATATATTAACTTAAGGGGTGCCCGACTGGTTTCCAACTCGATAAGACCTCTTATTTATAAGCCTGGTTGAATAAAATTTAAAGCCGATGTAAATAATTACAATATACTTCTACAATTACTTTGCATTAACACATAAATACATTAACTATTTAATTAGTAATAAAAAAAAAACAAAAAATTATTTGGTACAGATATTACAAAGCTAATAATACATATATATAGACTTAACATGTCAAAGATTGACACGTTCAGATCCATTTAGCATTCAACACATGACACCAAACTATAGTCAAATTAAAACAAACGTCCGAGCATATGTAATGAAATCCATTACCATTTATATTAAGCATCATACGAGTCTAAAACATTTAGCGCAGTAATGATGCAAATCGATCTAATATTATTCTGCTAAAGTAATATGTAAGGTCAGCATAAAAATTGATGAAGCTTTAGGATTTTCAAGACCATAAATGTTTTGATTGTATATATTAAGCAAATTTTAAATTTGTATAGATTTAGAAAAACTGCTATACTTCGCAATTTATTTAACTCAGGTGTATCCTAAAAAAATAAACTAAATATCCACGCCTAAATTTGATTATTTTTCAATCGTCTTCAAAAAAGAAGGAGGTTCTCAATTTGATTGTATTTTTTTTAACTCATATACATATTTACTATTTAAACTATACTATTTATACTGATTTGGGATTTTTTATTAATTATTTATAAAAAAAATATACTTTTAAATTGATCCTATAGAAATTTTATAAAAATTAGTATTAGTATTAGTAGTTTAATTTTGAAATCAAAATAACTGGTTTTGCCACGATAGAAATTGGTGTTTTTTTTAAACAAATATTTTACTTGCTTTATAATATTTATTCAAATACAAGCAAATAAAGTTATCATTCAATCATTATTTATTTATTCGAAATCATATTTACTTTGGATTTTAATTTTATTTCTAAATAAATATTTCGATTATCGTTAATAAATATAGGTCGTAGGTAGCTTAAACATAGCAACTACTGGCAAAACCTACCTTTTTTGGGGATCCTTTTGTTCTACAATAGACGTTAGACAACTAATATGATGGCGGTGATGATGATGATGATGATGATAGGCAGCTTAAGTAAAAAAAATTAAGTCCCACGTTGGAGATCTAGACTACAGTATCGTGATCAAATATAATATAAACATATTCTTGTATTAGATTGTCTGAGGTAGAAGTCAAAACTCTTCTAAACCAGCACAGTTGTCTCTATCTACCTATGTCAAAATAGACCTGCGTTAAATTACCGGTATAATAGCTACAGTAATGTTGAAGCTAAACTTCGAAACTAAAAGAAGTCATTTGAAAAATGAGATCGTAAAAGTAATAACGTCAGAATCACAATATACCATAAATAACAACGTTACAAACGATATGGCTAATTGGCACGTTAACAGAATAGAAATTGCGAATACTCGTAATTCTGCGCATCATTCTGAATAAAAACATACCAATATACATAGGAACATCAGTGCACTTCCTAGGCGATGCGCTTGCGCATACAAAATGTGACACCCACAATATTGAGTCACGTGGATACGAACTCAAATACTTGCCATTGTACATTATGTACTTGTAAGACAATAATGATGTTTATCGTGGTGACTTTATCCTTTGAAATGACAATATTAAAAGTTCCACAGGATGTCTTTATTACTTCGTTCGTGTATTTATTTAAAAATGTTGACATACTCTCTATAATATTATCATATATCATAGGTTCAATGTTAAACAGTGAATATTCTTATAATTAGTTAAATAAATAATAAATGATTCTAAGTTATTTCTATAATTAAATTGACAATAAAATTAATGCAAATCAAATAATTTTACAATACAACATTCCAAAATTGTCGTAAAGACCAATCGTAAGCTGACACTCATTTATACGAGAAAAACATATTCGATACAATCCTTATTCGCTTATCGTAAACTCAAGACCATTTTGTAATAACCTTCGCATTCATACAAGTTTACAAATGAAGGTAAAATTATAATCTTTTATTTGCGACGATCGGGATTAACATGACGCTATAATATTTTATTATCTACATAGGTTATGAGATTTCTAAGAATCCGGATTCTGTAATTATGGAAATTGCATTAAGCTAAACGCATCACGAAAAATTAATAAAAATAATAAATTATATTATTTCAAATAAATATATAATAGGCGGAGAATGTCGTGGCCGGCAATAAAATTTCGTACTACGGATATACCCTTAAAATACCTACTTACACGGTGCTTTCTATTTTTTGAATTAATATTTAAGCATTCTTTTTTAACTTTTCTACAGATATGTCCCTTTATTCATAATAACCAAAACCTCGTACAAACGTATCTATTGAAGTGTTTTTCCACTTTCTTTCAAATTGAGAATTTAGCGTAAAAGAAAAAGACAAAACATTTCAAGAGCTAAATAGGTTTAAGACAGATTTGACAATTTTGTGAATAAAGAGGTTAGAATTTAAAAATATTATATACCGTAATAATAAAAAAAAACCTTTTTCTATTAAAGATTTTAACATTGCTATGAGATATTTGAAATAGAACTTTTAAAATTCACTATGAAGCTACCGGCTTCTTCGAAAAAATTAAAAGCAAACTACTTGCTCTAGCCCATCTACTGAACCAGTGGAAGACAACGAGTAAATTTATATTAATTTCCATGACAAAGCCAAAAGTAAAATAAGAATGTAAAATACAGATAAAATGCTATTTGATTATAAATATATCAATTTACATTGTATTTTAGTTGAACGCTCTCGTAGCAACAATCATTTCATCGGATGCAAGCATTTAGCATACAGATAGGTATACCGATTGACAAAGACTAGACATGACTCAGACCAAGTCTTATTCGACGAAGGTAGATAATTTTATAGATAATAGGATGTTGAAGAGAAACAATATTTCATACGTACCTATATCATGACAAGCTACTTTACATGTATATTGAAGTAAATGCCTTGGTTTTGGAGTTTAATAAAAGATATTATTAAGTTTAAATTAAATGTTGGTATTACTAATAAAAACATAACGAATATTTTAGACAGTTTTTTTAGTGCAATGCAACCTATGTTTTTCGCTAATATTGTTTATGGCTAGCTCTCTATAAGTGAAATAATATTTAAAATCGGTTTAAGTATTTTTGAACGTATGTATTAAAAATTAAATACGAAATCTTTCTTTTTTATAATATTTGTTTAGAATCTAAATGTTTAAAGATTGTGTCCCACAAAAAAAAAACAACTTCAGTTAGGACAAAACTAGATCTTCTGGTCTATAAATTAAACTACTGACTAAAACTTAAAATTTTATGGGACTAATTTGTAAACAGATAAAACTAAAGTAAACAGATAAAAAAGAATTTTCCAAATCGGTTTAAAACTGACGGGGTTATGAGATGACAAATATAAAAAAAAAGTATAATCGAATTGAGAATATCTTTCTTTTTGAAGTCGCTTAAAAAGCGATTTCAGTTGAAACAATATTAATATAGAACCAAATGTGGAATAAACACTGTCGAATGCATAAATAATAATCAATTCAGAACTGTTGAATATATCGCTCAATATAAAAAGAAATTGTAGATGGATTAAAATAAAAAAATTGAAATACCCTAAACACGCAAAATCGCGAAATTTTTATGGTAAAACCTCATTTTAAGGTTTTTGATAACCCCCATTTAAAATTGATTGTCCACAATCTTGAATAACAATTATAAATGAGATATCTATCTAATTATATAATCCTTTAAAAAACAAACAATATTAAAATCATTTCGCCTTTATACTTAGTTATCTATGAAGCCCGTTTTCTTAAATCAAATCATAATCCTTATATCAACAGAAAAAGTCAATAAAACAATACAATTTCTCCATTCAAATTATGAAGAGTCGTCAAATTTATTTCAATTATAAATAATTGAAAATTAAACCGTTTATTATAAAAAAACAGCCTTAAGAATTCTTTTTTAAATATTTACTATATAAGTCTTTAACATTTATTATTTCTGAAAACCTCGTTAGCATAATAAAAAGCAAAATCCAAAATTTACAAAATTTTACAAATACAAATATGTTCACACCTGTATCACAAATTAAGTAGTCAGAGGTATTTGTCAACCGTTGGCGTTAACATTTCGCCGAATTTCGCCGAAAAGATCTCAACTTAAGCATCAAAACGGAGTCATTGAGTACTTACTATTGAAATGTAGTTCTAGCCAACACAAAGAGCTCATTTATACAAAGCAGTGAACTGAGATGTAAGTGACCCAGAAAAGCACTACGAATAAGTATCAAATTTCTACCATATTAACTAATAATGGTTGAAAGTATGTGTTATGATTGATTTTTGTTTTTGGACCTAGTACTATAGTAGGTACTCCGGTCGTGAATCCTACTTTATATTTAATATTAATACAAACAATATAATAAGAAAAAAAGAAAAAATATTTTTCACCAATGTACTTTACACTAACATACACACACTAATATAGCTTATATTTATAATAAAAACTTAAAATGCCTAAAAATTTCCAACTAGTTATCATATTATTATTTGAAATAAGGTATAGGATTTGACTTAAATTATATTTAATTCAAATCCTATGCCTTAATTATATACGAAAAATCGAAATAAGTTACAAAACAATACAAAATTCTTGAAAGGTTACCTATGTTTTTGTAAGTTTTACAACAAACATGAAAAAAAACCGATCATCCGTGTCTCGGATGCAAGGACAATGACATGTGTTTGTGGAGCATTAAAGAATAAAACCACGTATTACGACATTCGAGCTTCGAACTGCACTTACAAAATGGAATAGTATGCGTATGTTTGTTTGTATTATCGATTATATCGCGTTAGAACGTCACTTGTTTCGCGTTGAGTCGACTCGCCGTGCGGTAGGAGGCGTTATCGCGGATGCGCGTGCGCAGGTTATACGCGCGGCCGTTGCGGCAGCCGTCCGTTGCGACAATGCGCTTCCATAATTTCGTGAGCTACCTCCCCCAGTCTCCAAGCTAGCACCTCTCTCTTTTGAGTAGATACGAGTCGGGGCAACGGTAGTAACTTCTGTCACTACATATTCAATTTTCAGCTATCTGCTTCAGGACTAAAGCTGAGATTAGGAATTTGAATCCTTAAATTTTATTTAAAATGCATACATGTAGCACTATAACAAGTATACTATGCTAACAATAACTAGAAACTAAAACTTAAATTAATAAAATAATCGATTTTACTAAATTACCTCTACTATCAATATTATCATCATCAAGCAGTGTCATAGCATATTCTAGATTCACAGCTCACGTTACTGTTACAGATCTAAATTAACACATAGTTACAAAACTTTACTTTTGAAAATCTTCCAAAAGGAATTTTCACTTTTCCTTTATATTTTGATACAGTAAATTTAAATGTATGTAGTTTTTATATAGTATTAGCTTTTATTTTTCTTATACAGCTTCTTTGTATTTTACCTGAGGATAGACGCATATTTGAGAATTTAATAAAACGTTGATGTAATAAAATTATTGCATTGTCTGCATCAAGGAGTCATTGTTTATACAATCCGCAGTCTTTTTGTTTTATTTGTGGTGAATATATTGTATATAACTATAATAGTTGTCTTTGTAAATAATTATTGTAGTTTTTCCATAGTTATATACATAGAATAATTTTCACATATTCTTCTAAAATAAATCGATATACACGTTGATATAATTTTTATTTTACACAAATAAATTATGGGTTAATAGTGCAATGAATGCAAAGTCGCGTATGTGTACATACAATAGTTTATTTATCTTCGTTACCCTCAATTCGCGTTGTAAATTTGCTTGTTATACAACTGATTTCAGGTTAAATTAACTGCAAATCTATAAAGTTGGATCGTTCATTTCTGTTTTAACTGTCGGGAGTTCTCGTGTGATTTCGCAGCTAATCATAATATTACTGACAGAGATATAAAGGCCTTTCCCATTAAAGCAAACATTATTTATAGTTTCTGACTGAATGTCTAGCAGTAAAATAGCTTTGAATAAGGACTACAAATTACTTGGATATATTTATAATAGGATACCTATCTAAAGTAATGGAATAAATTTACTGTAATGGATCCTATCGATCGTTATAGAAGTAGGAAAATATTTTTAAACGTATTAAAAAGAGGTTCTGAAGTTACAGGTTTTTTTTATTTCGATGTTACTCCATATCTTTTAGAATTCTGTACCGACTTTGAATATTTTTAATAATTTTTAAGGTTTTTAGAAATTGCCCTTATTTTCTTTTTGTCCAAGACAAAACAAAACATTGCACATGGTACTACGTCACGACAAAAATATACGGCATGTACTTAAAAAAATCACAATAATGCTTAACATAGAATAAAAGAAAAGAAATAGAATATTGTGTAATTATATTACTATTACCTATTAGTAATATAAATAAAAAATACCACGTATCATTCCAAAAGATATTTCTCAGTAAACGCTTAATTGCCCAGAAATCTTAATCGTTTGTGGAAAATTTCAACTTTATAGATCTAACACTTCTTACGGCATACGAGTATAGCATGTATTGATATGATTAATATATCAAAGCATTTGTATAAATAAAACTTTGCCCCTATTTGTCTTATTATAAAGTACGTATAGATGTTTGAATTCTAAGGTATAAGTACATTCATATTGGCCATATGGTCCCGACATCGATTAGTTCACCCCTTCCTTTCCTGTAGATGTCATAAGAGGCGACTAAGGGAACTTGATGATAGAGGAACGGGCAGCAGAGTCCCTCTTAAAACATCTCTAAAAGCCTAACTGCGGTTACCAAGCCACCTGCCAAGCGTGACAACTACTGGCAAAACTCCCCTTATGGAAAAGGCAACAATAAATTTCAATGAAGTTTGGTACACAGGTGGTCACATTAACATAATACTTTTATCTTGCTTCATTTGGATAAAGCCGCGAGTAACATTTTGTATATACGAATAATAATACGTAAAGGAAGTTATTTAGATGATCGGCCTAAGCAAAGTTTATTACGTTTTCAAATTGCGCATCTCAACTCATACCTTACTGAACAAAGTGTTTAATAATTCATACTAAATCAACACTCCGATGAGCAAAATATAAACTGAATAATTTTGTTGTAGCCTGCAACTTATCTAAACAGCAATTACAGAAATAAATAAATATTTCAAACTAAACTTGGAATTGCTTGAACGCATTTTACTCACGTTATAAGGTGTTCAGATAAAATTAAATATGTTTATTATCTCTCACTTATTGTGCTGTTTTGAGATCCCTATAAGAGTTTCTGATATAAGATGTATAGGAAACGTGATGGTGATTCCCTATTTCTTTTATACATTTCATTGATAATAATATGAGCTAATGAATTTAGGTATTAAAGAATATTGCAATAATATTTATATTGTAACAAATCATATTGTACAGCATGAAAATATACTTTCATATAAATAATTGTGTCGTTTGTGTATGATAAAAATGTATAAAAAATTTTTTTACTAACTTGACTGTAATTAAGTTTCTGTAATTAATTGTTCATTTTGATTGTGTACGTATTGTTAATCTTTACAACCTGTATCATTCTTTAAAGGGAATAATAATAAAGAGAAAAATAAAAAGTAAAATTTACCTTTTTTAGAATCAAACTATAATTCTAATTTAATTATCTTATAATTTCATTAAAAATAATTAACAATATATGTAATATACCTTTCTATATACCAGATGAAGTGGAGATAACCGACATTCATTTGTGGGAACTGTTTGAAAATGCCAAATTTTTATATGGAGAGCCCAAATATTTCTAACCTATTTTCTTTAGGAAGGATGCTCTTTTAAAAAGATACTTAAAATTTCGCTTCCATCTACTATAAATCATTTTTCTATTTCTATTAAACTGTACCAGTCTCACTCTCAATTTTTATGTACATTATTGTACAAATTTTCAACATGCATGAAAAACAAACATATTCATTGTAGATATACTGGTACTGTTGACTTGTCGTGTGCTGCAGAACTAGCAACCATCAACACTATTGATGATTTGTTTGCATTACTCTGTTACTATGAATACGCAATCTTACGAAATAACTTTACATATCGTATTGACTTATGCACTGTGTGTGTCAATGCAGTAGAATAAATAACCAACACTGCAAGGGCAATGAACCACACTTGGCTAATACATATAAATTATTTAACCTACGTACAAATGCAACAAAGATTTCTGTAGGTACTTCTGGAATCAGTAACGTATGTATCATTTTCAAGATATTTTTCCTAATTTTAATCCCTCGTTTAAACATAGTTTCCTCTAAGATTTGTTGTTGGAAAGAATTATACTTAACATTAACATCACTATAATTATGGTTAATGACATAAATAAATATATTTTACTGATTTAAGTATTATATTAGGAAAGTTCATATCACAGGTTAGTTTATTTGTTCACATGGAGCATTTCATGCATTACAATGTTTGGTATAAATTCACATTGATATAAAATAATTTGTTAAACTCAGTGCACTAAAAAAGAAATAAATGTTGGTTATAAAACTTATATGAGAGTATACCAAAGGAAACTAGTATCCGAAAACGGAAATTTCAATAAATAAATGGAACAAGGCGAAGAAATAAAATATTTAATCCTACCATTTCAAAATATGAAGAGTATTAGAGACACATGGTTATATAAAAGTACGTATCTTGCATAATATTTGCAAAGTAAAGTGAAGCATACACAAGATCCTATTGACCAAGTTAAAATTGTTAGGACGGCGTATTTCTAGGTGTGCTTGGGACGACAAGCAAATATTCAAACGCACTATGGAAACGTATGATTTGTTGCAATACTTACTATGAGTAATAGTTTAAGATAATATAGGTACAAAGTATAGTAAAAGTACTGACATTATTTATCATCTATGTATATTATTATTTATTGTTTGCATTATAATATTTATTGGATATTATAATGTTTCACTAACTACTACACGGGTTAAAGAAATTATATCGAAAACATGTATTTTACATTTTATTTTAGTATTTCAAAAACAAAATAATTGCAAACAGAACTATCCTACTAATATTATAAATGCAATGGATGGATGAAATGAAATGAGTTTATATGCATTAAACAATCTTAAAATTATTACAAAAACCACGTGGTACTATTTTGGCGTATGTTTAATTGCCGTAAGCGATGTAGGCATCCAAATATTTATATTTTATAAAAAGAAATAAAAATATTATTCAATTATGTCATTCAAATTGTCATTACATATTAAAAGTCAAATTCATGTCACTTATACATATATGTAATAAACTGTTTATTAAATTTAGACTCTTTCTTGTAAAAACTACTGAACGATTTCAATGAAATTTGATATACGGGCAGGTTATATCTTAACAGATGGGACTTTATGTACTAATTCATGCTAGTAAAGTCACAGGTTACAACTAGTTATTAATAATTAGGATGAAATCATTTCACGTCAAAATTAATATTATATTATTATAAGGGATACTATTTTTTGTATGTATGTGCCATTAAGAGCGGTTTCACACAAAAAAAAATTACAAGTAAGAAATCGATGTGACTACCGCCTTTTTAGATTTCGGTTGACAACAAATTTAATTTTCAACTGAGGTTACACTTACTGCGAACACGACCGCAGGTGGTGGCAGAAATAGGGGCAGGACTATAACTCTCCACAATACTATCATTAATCCTTTATGGGGTTGTTAACCTCGGTCCCCGTGATAGACAATGGTGGTAGTCGCGACTGTGAGCAGAATTAATACGTATGCACACGCAATGGGAAGCGGGAGACGACCAGCCTTGAACTTGCACATGCAATTCTATGCTGGCGATGAATGCGAAAGCAGTCGCCATTTCTAGTAGGCGCGTCATGTGAACAAATGTGACCAACATTTGTGACATTTTATTATTTAAAT